CAAAAAAAATTAAAGAAAAACTAGCTTTTCCTGGTGCTGGAACCCTATTTTAACTTTTTCCTAGAATCCAGTATCTTAAAGTACTTAACTCTGTCTATGGAAGTGAACATTTATATTAATCATACTCTCACAAAGAATCCTACATAAACTGACTTAAGGAAAAAAAGTAAAGCATCATTTAATGGCTTATATATAAAACAGATCATTTTTTACTGGTTTTAAGTCACTAGTTTCAAGTCACCAATATGTGGTAATTTGTTACAGCAACCCAAGGAAACTAATACAATACACACTAGTGAAACTGTACTCTTTGCACCTACCAAAACAAACCAAGTTCCATAATATTTATGAGCCTGAGCATTCACTCTTGATAAACCTTCAAACCGATCTTTCACAAAAGTACTACAAAGACCCAGAAGAAAAAAGAAGGGAAAATGGATAATGAGCAAGAAAAAAGAAGGTATTCCTATGCCATTTTAAATTTCACTTTGCTATTTTCTTCTACATTTTATACATAAGAAAAAGAAATCATAAAAAAAGAAATCATAATGAAAACTTTTTCCATAAAAGCCATTATGTAATCTGCCTAATGGTCAGCTGCATTGATTAAAATGTCAATAATAATGTTCTATCACTTGTATTACCTGTTGTTAATTATTAAATGTATTAAAATGTATCCTTTTCACAGTAATTTAATGGCAGAAACACAAATTAATATATTGTTGTGCATTCAATGTTTCATTTTTTAGTCTCAAATAAACTCTTAAATTTTATTTCATGCTCCTGCAAAGTTATCTGTAGTTATAGAAGACTCCTATGACAGCTTTTCTCCATATGTTGGCTTAGCATCCCAGGTTTCTTATGGCATCTCAATATCAATGTCAACCTGTGCTTCTGTAATTGCTGCAACAGGAAAAAAATAGGAGAAGAGAGTCTTGCACTGGCCATTACATAACTGTTTGAAAGAGACATGTACTTGCATTTCATTGGCCAAAGAAAATCACATAACCATACTACATTAAGGCAATAGAGAAGTGAAATCTTCCAGTGTTCTCAGTAGGAGGAGAACAGGAACCACAAGGATCAAAATTGTAATGGTTTGCACCCCATGTATGCATGATATGTCAATATACACCCTACTGTCATGTATACCTAAAAACAACAAATAAAAAAAAAAGAAGGAAGAGCACAGAAATATTGATAGTGGCTACCAAAGTAAACAACTATTTCTCATTCTCGCCTATTTGTATATTTTACTGAATAGCAGTCTCAGATGCCTCGGCTGATACTTCACTTTTCTAATTATTTATTATTATATTAGAATATAGAACTGCAATTCTAATGTTCAGAATGATAATTTTTAAGAGAAGGAGCATACAAAAATAAAATCTTCTCAAGTTTTCTGCCTTTTATTTCAGGAAGTGTAAAAAATATTTTTCTAAAAATTAAGTTGCATTGGGGGGCTGAGGCTATGGCTCAGCAGTAGAGCACTTGCCTAGCATGTGAGAGGCGCTGGGTTCGATCCTCAGCACCAAATAAAAATAAATAAATAAAATAAACATATAAAAAAATCACATCAATCTTTAAAAAAAATAAGTTGCATTGGTATCAGCATACCAAGGTGGCTTGAAAATAAATTACCATTCTTAAAATCATAATCATGAAACCAAAACTAATTTTTGAAGTAAAATAATCTCAAATTAAAAATTCATATTTTATCAAGATTTTACTGAAATCAGTGATATTTTGTTCCCATTGGCTCATTTGAAAGTTGTAGACTCCACAGAAAGATGATAATAATACAGTGTTTCCCAATATGCACAGCACAATCACCCTTGCCGAGTTTTTTTCAGATAGACAATAAGCAGTGCCCTTGATACTAAAGATTAACCAAAATTAATTATATTATATAACAATGATTATAATCTGCTAATAAGCTCTCAGTCTTCATAATATCAACTTTTAAGAATATGACCACTTTTAAATCATCAGTGCATTTCCTAAATGATTGTCTAATTTAAATTGTAAACATATTGTGAAATAAGCACTAAAGAACAAATTTCCATAAATCTGTATTATTCTATGCTCTTCTTAATACTAAAATAGTAAATGTAACAAATGAATCATAGGAAAGACCAGATGGAAAAGTAGGAAAATAAAGCAACTGATTCATCTTATGAAGAATAGGAGATGAATTAATATATTTTGTTTAGGAGTGACCCATGTCTTTTGATTTAATAGTGATTAATATTTGAGATTCACCTCCAATTTAATGCCTTCAACCAACCCAGAAAACATTTAATCTTTACAACAATCATTATAATACAGAAGGAATTATCTGTTCTTAGATCTATAATGTACTAATCTAAAACTTTGTTTTTGAGGGTGGTTCCAATGCATTTGTGTGAAGGTATATAATGAATGCCATTAGGCCGTTAAAAGGCTACTGGTATTATCAAAAGATGCTCAGTTCCATTAATAATCTTATGGTTAATCTCTCATTTAAGTGCTGTGAGATAATTGCTTTTTCAAACTACATAAATTCTTTAATGAGTTGTGAAACTGTAGTTTTAAATGTCAACAACTAGCCCCAGTTTTTCTGGTGTAATGAAAAAAATATATCTTTATTCTTTACATACCACGTATGATTTTCATTTTGGCCTCAAACCATAGTTCATTCTATCCCTCTTAATCATTCAATCAATTTAATTGCCCCTTTCATGGCATTTTCCAACTAGTTGATATTTTCTGCTGTATTTTAGCAAGGATAATTACACACCACTTTCTCTTTCTAGTGCTGGTGACTGAACCCATGGTCTCCTGAATGCTAAGCAAGCTCTACCACTGAGCTACACCCCTAGCCCTACACACAGTTTTCTGAGCAATATTTTATTAAAAGAAAATGTCTTAGTCTGCCTTTTTTCCTAAAGAAGCTTACTTAAAATGCTCAGACTTATTGCTTATCTTTTAAAGTCACAAATAGAATGAGATCCTTTTCTATGGACACCTTGGTTTGACAAAGAAAACTGCAAAGCAATATTACATCAAATCCAAGATGTTTTATAGCCCAATTGTTATTTTAAATAGGTTGGAATATTGTCCCCTTGAAGCCAGGGACCTTGCTACCTTATTTCACCATTGCTGCATCTCTAGGATTCTATAATGGGGCTTAGTTTGTGCTAGCTTTCAATATGTGGTTGTTGAATCAATAATAATTAAATATTGAATGTCCATAGAGTTAATCCGAAGCCTGGTCATTAATACTGTTAACAAATGTAGTTAGGGGGACATAGCATGAGTTGGGAAGAAATTTTATTTTGTGATTTCCAACTCTATCTTTTCCAATTTGATAATCCTGAAAAATTTATCTCATATATAGAATAAATGGGATGTTTTCTTGACATCAGGACCCTAAATTATTATTATTTTTTGCTGATGATTAACAAAAGACTAGGTATGATAGTTAGTATTTGGAAAGATAAAGAAACATCTTTCATTTTAATTCTTAACAATTCTCTAAGCAATGGGTCTGTACCAGCTCAAATTTGTGAAAGTTTAACTAGCAAATTATATTAATTTCTCTTAGAATATTTTCATAAGGAAACTTATATGGAACATTTTTGTATGTTTCTTTGAACATTTGGTAAACAAAGATATTTTTATTTGGTACTCATGTAACCATAATTAAACATAGAAAACAAAACATAACATTTTGCTTGGGGCTCAAAGACTAGTAAATTCAATGAAGTCTATATCCAATATATATCAAGTGATTTTGCAAAACTGCTATAAAACATACTGTCCATTACAGTGCACAAATATATTGATCAACATAATGATCAATAATCAAATCTTCCTTGATTGTATAGCAGGAAGAAAATATTTTTCCCTTCTGAAAAATGGGTATAGAGTACTTTTTTAATTTTTTTTTATATTTCTGTATTCACTTCCAGGAAGATGGTGTAAAAATTTGCACTCGGTCTCTGCTTGATTTTTGAAAAATCACTCACTCCTCTGTCTTGATCTTTATACATTGACTTTTAGCAGAATTATTAAAATTTGCTTTTGCAAATTTCTTCCTTTGTAAGCTACCTTACATGTTTTATAAAAGGCAATGGAATGTATTAGAGCAAACAAGTTTTTGTGTATCATCGGGAAATTTAAAGAAAATCTAGTAAGTATGCTGAATACGGTTCTGCTGAGCCTCAGCACTTCAACTATAAAGCTTCACCTTGCAAAATCATTGCTGATGATTAACCTCAATTAAATGAGGTAAAAATTAAGGGTTTAGAACATTAGCAAGTAAATGGGAGGTGTGCTGTGTTTCCTAACTGGATCTTTTAAATAACAAATTCATGTAATATTAAGCCTTCTAGACACAGGGAAGTCAAGATTAATGGCAACAAGAAATTGCTCATAGTGACAATGAAGTGATTGTAAATTTTTAGTTGCAAATTTAAAGTATCACCTAATAAATATATTTTAAATTTCATGGGCTTAAAAGTATTCTGTTTATTGCCCACTTTGAAATTTAGCAACATGAAGAGATGGCAGATGGTTTCTATAATTGGCCTGCAATTAACTGTAAAGAGTTTTGACATTTCACTAGGGGACATAAGACAATAAGTAAATTTGAAAATATCACTGTATACGACCCCATTGACATACTGTTAAATATCACAAACACTACTTAGTGTTGGAGTATTTTTAAAAGTATGCCACCATTTAAATCAATGTATATGATAGTTTGCCCCTAGAGCTTTTGTTTCCTGGTTCTATTCAACACATACCTACATTTAATAGAGCATCTACATTAAATGGTAAGATTTGTTTCAATGTCAATGAACACCGTGAACATATTTTTAAAGTGACATTTGAAAAGCTCATTAGATAAGTTAGATCTAATTAAAAAAAAAATTTAAGGCAAAGCTTAAAAGTTTGACTTACATTACCGGAAAGATCTGAATTTGCTTCTGGATGTTCATTTCTGTTTGATGTGTTCAAACCTGGGGACAGACTGGGGCTGAACGCCATGAGGTCAGTCTTGGGCGGGCCCTCTCCAGAGCACACTCTTTGTTGTCTCTGCTGGGAGTAAGACCAGCTCCCCACTGCGCTAGAGCACACCAGTGTAGGCTTCCCAGGCACACACACATCCTCCGTGGGTGCCGCAGAGCACCTAAATGCAGTATACAGCAGCAGCGTGAGAACCAATAGGCTGGATACTGCACAGATGGCTATGATCAGGTACACATTCACATCCACCAGGGTCACTCCAGGGCCAGCAGTAGTGACCGATGCCCGTGATGAGGCCTTTGGAGCCTGGCCACTCTCTACCAGGGATAAGAGCACTGTGGCTGTGGCAGTCAGTGCCGGCTCACCATGGTCTTTCACCAGAACCAGTAGGCGCTGGCGCGGAGAATCTGCCTCATCCAGGGCACGCGTTGTGCTGATCTCGCCAGTATATAGACCCACGCGGAACGGGCTGCGCTCACTACCTGCCACCAGTTGCAGCTCATAAGAAAGCCACGCATTATAGCCAGAGTCAGCATCCACCGCGCGCACCTTGGTCACTACATGACCAGCGCCCACTGACCAATGCACCAGTTCATTCACAGTGCCTCCGGCGCCACCCACCCCAGGTGCCAGGAGTGTTGGCATGTTGTCGTTCTCATCCAGCACGAACACCTGCAGCGTCACGTTGCTGCCCAGGGGTGGCACACCAGCGTCGTGCGCGCTCACCTGAAACTGCAGCAGCTCAAGCTCCTCATGATCCAGGGGCTGCAGCGCATATACCTTGCCGCTCTCCGCGTGCACTGACACGTAGCTCGACAGTGCACGCTCACCCACCCGCCGCTCTACCAGAGAGTAGGATACTAGCGCGTTCTCCTGAGCATCCGCGTCCCTTGCGGACACCGTGAAGATGTGGCAGCCTGGGGGGTTGTTCTCCTTCACAAACACTGTGTATTCGGGCTGCGGGAACACTGGCGCATTGTCATTCACGTCTGCCACCTCCACTGACACGCTGGAGGTGGCCCACAGTGAAGGTGAGCCCCCATCCCTGGCGGTCACCACCAGTTTATAGTCAGATATGGTCTCACGGTCCAGGGCTCCGTTCAGTACCAAAGAATAGTAATTCTTGAAAGTGGACACTAGCTTGAAGGGGACATGGGGTGTGAGGGAGCAAGTCACCTGTCCGTTGGCACCTGAGTCACGATCTGACACACTAATCAGAGCAATGGCCGTGTTAAGTGGAGCATCCTCTCGGATGGGCAAAGATAATGAAGTGATTGCCAGTTCTGGGGCATTATCATTTACATCCAGCACTTTCACTAAAACTTTGCAGTGATTTGACATGGAAGGACTTCCTTTATCAACTGCCTTTACCTGGATTTCATAGTATTTTGTCTCTTCATAATCCAGATTACCAATTACTCTAATTTCTCCTAAAATAGAATCAATTTTGAATTTTTCTTGAATGTTAGGAGAAACATCACTGCCAAAAGAAAAGACAACTTCCCCATTTACACCTTCATCAGCGTCAGATACATTTAATGTGGTCACTGATGTTCCATTTGCTGTTGTCTCTAATAAATGGACTCTGTATATAGTTTGCTCAAACAGTGGGGCATTATCATTAACGTCGAGCACAGTGATCAGCAGCTGAACTGTACCTTCCAGTTCTGGTTTACCCCCGTCAGTGGCAGTCAATAATAAATGAAGTTCTGGTGTTTCTTCTCTGTCCAAAGATTTCCTCAATTCAAGTGAAAGAGATTTGCTCAGTTCATCACTTGCCTGTATGTCCAAGGAGAAGTAATCACTGGGGCTGAGGGTATAAGTTAGAAGAGCGTTGGCACCAATGTCTGCATCATCAGCGCCCTCTATCGGAAAGCGAGAATCCAACTGTCTATTTTCAGGAATAAATATCCTTTGTTCTTTGCTTCTGAAAACCGGTGGATTATCATTAATATCTTTCACCTCCACCTCCACATGGAAAACCTGCAGCGGTCTGTCCACGATCACCTCCAGGTGGATGCTACACTCCGCGCTCCGCCCGCACAGCTCCTCCCGGTCGATCCGAGAATTCACAAATAAAATGCCATTCTGCAGATTTACCTCCAGAAGATCCCCGCGGCCCTTGGACGCCACCCGAAACAGGCGCGGCACTAGCTCCTCCAGCTCCAGCCCCAGGTCCTGGGCGATGTGGCCCACGAAGGTGCCGTGTTTTGCCTCTTCAGGGACCGAGTAATGGAGCTGACTGCTCGGGGTCTCCCAGACCGAGAGAAGCAAGAGAAGCAGTAGCAAGTATCCCAGGCCTCCTCGCCTGAAAAACAGCATTGCAAAAACACTACCGCTTTCCTTCTGTTCTCACCTTACTAAACAATCTTACTTTTTTATTTCATATTTTCAATCATGTATCTCCTTATCGTTTTTGTCTTCTCTCCGATGCTGACAAAATGAAGCTTCCTCCTTTAAAAGCTTTTAGTGATGGGTACCTTATTTCTATCGACTAGACTTTGTGGTATACAGCGACATCATGTGGCTAATGTGAATTTTCCATCCATTCATTGATTTTTTTCAAAGTACAGTCTCTATATTCATTTGAGATTTACGCAATAAGATTATTTTCAATTTAAGTCCTTTAAAGATCCAGGAAAGGGGCTGGGGTTGTAGCTCAGTGGTAGAGCACTTGTTTAGCATGTGTGGGACCTTGGGTTCAATCCTCCAAACCACATAAAAATAAATAAAGGTGTTGCAACCATCTACAACTAAAAAAAAAAAAATTTTTAAAGATTTAGGACATTTTCTAATTTCCTTTGAAGTTAGTTCAGTATTTTCCTTTAGTTATTTTCACAAACGTATTACAATTGAATTTGAGAACATTTGGGATATGCTTTGCCACTCATTACATCATTGTATTTAAAATGATTTAGCAGCTCACATAGTTTTATTATTAAATAAGTAAATGTATACCGAAGTTTTAAAACAATGCACTTTGACCACTAAAGTTCACTTTATTCTAGAACAGCTTATTTATTTAAGTGATAAATTTATACTTATATGTATTTATAAATATATGGGTTTCAAGACTTACATATGACACTTTTAGAAAGATTTCTGAAATACATTTAAAATTTCCTCAGTGTTGAAAAAAAGTCATCATTTTTTGATACTTTAAATGTTTTAATGAAGATATTTAGGGATATCCCCTATTGCTTGTTATATAACATAATGACCTAAGTTTTGAATTTCTAACTTTGACTTCAAAAAGTCATTATTCCAAATTGAATTAATATCAATTGGATCTTTATTCTAACATCAAAATTTTAGTCATAGCTAAATCAAACATTATCAAACATTATCACATTTCAACAAAAATTATAAGAATATTGAATTGCTATCCGGTACACAAACTGAAAAATCTCATAACAGTTCACAATCAAAATGAAAAATGTAAATCTAGTGCAATGATTAAGTTTTCAGAAGAAATAATCTGAGAATAACCTATTAATAAACCTCTTTTTACCTTCAGTGCAATTCATAATCAGAATCTCACAATTACATCAAAATTTGACTAAAAAATGTGGTCAGAATAAACTCACTAGTTATTTTTTAAAAGAATACACTTTGGCCAGTCAAGGTGGCATATGCCTATAATCCCAGCTTCTCAAACAGCTGAGGCAAGTAGATTCAGGTTTGAAGCCAATTTGAGCAACATAGCAGTCTTAGGTCCATCACACTTAGTCACTACTCTGTTTCCCCAAGTCTGGCCAACCTAGTCAGAGGAAACATGCCCTGCAGGTGACCTGAACAGTAATCCCTCCCTTTGTTCTTTCCACTAATGTTAGAATTTCTGGCATATTGATGGTTTAATGCACTTTAATGGAAATTGATAACAGACTATGAGGGCAGTTGTGTCCCACCTGCTCGCCAAACCTACCCCCTGTCCTTGGAAGTCCACATTATAGCTATACCACTGGAGGAACAGAGGCTGCATATTTATGTGTGCAACAAACATCTGCTTGTTGTCAGTCTCATCAGGGAGCAAGATAAGCATGGCCTTGATTCTGAAGACTTCACCCATAAAATGCATAAATATTTCAAAAGTAATTACAGAACACAACACATTTTAAAAATAGGATAAAGAGACTTCTTCTCATTTAGATGGAGGAAGAGCTTTCTTGAGGAAAAGTTTTATGATCCAATACCCCTACTCTAATAAGGTTGAGTGGTGGTCTTGAATTCTTTCCTTTAATTCTCTCAAGAGTCCCAGGAGGTGGGTAACACTGATGATTCTTATTTTGCAAATGAGGAAATTGAGGCATACAAAGTTTAAAGGAATTCTGGAAAATGTAGAAGTGGTGGTTGGTAGTGTCTGGATTTAAAATGGACTGTTTGCATTGTGTCAACTGCTGTGCTCCAAGGCAAGAAGATCCCGGGGCCTTTGAGAAATGAGCTATAAGAGGAGGTAAGGCACTTACCAGAGTTTGTCATTCCAGAGCAACAAGAAGCCATCAGCAATTTTGTGGCAGAGGACCCATGAACCATTCTTTAAGGGTGCTTTAATTACTGGGTGGGGAGTGGAGTAGGGGATAGCAAAGGAGTCGAGGTTGCAGCAATAGTCCAGGCCAGAAATGTTCCAGGACTCTGGGCTGATGGTGATAAGAGTGAGAGATAAGTGGTCCTATTTGGTTTAGGAAACAGGGTTTGCTTTGGGTCTTGATGAGAAGGGTAGAAGGGATTTCTCGAAGGAAAAAGAGTAGCCCTGAGATAAGATGCAGGAATATCATCAGACATCACAAAGGATAAAAGAATCTAGCTCTGGACACAGAAGCCAGAAGACTGGAAAAAGACATGGGGCGTGAAAGGAAGCCAGAGCTGAGACATTCTTGCCACTCTCTTTATCCACTACCTAGCAACGCTGGTGGGCGCTAGGACCTCAAGACTGCCTTCGGTCTTGGAATCGCAGGCCTGGAATACTTACTAGCTACTCCGGAGGAGTCTAGGCACAGAAGTCTGGATTTTGTCAGGTCACGTGGACACTCCGGGCGCCCTGGTCACGTGATAAGAGACGGGGCTAATCGGCTGCACAGTGCTGAGAGAGCAGTAGCGCCCACCTGCGTCCTGAGCTCTGCACTCATTGGCACCCCAGGTGGGCCAGGGAGTGGAATATTAAAGAATATTAACATGAATAAGGATTATTTAATCCATTATGTCTTCATCGTAGGAAATCAAAATCTTTGTTTAAAGTATGAAAGAAAAAAAATGGGGCTTTAAAAAAATTAGGTTGTGGGCTGGGGCTCCGCGGTAGCGCACTTGCCTGGCACGTGTGAGGCACTGGGTTGGGTTCTCAGCACCACATATGAATAAATAAAGTAAATAAATAAAGGTCTAATCAACAACTAAAAAAATTTTAAAGAAATATCAGTTTGTGTGTTTCAATAGTAGTTCGATGAAACCACCTTACTACAAAATGTATGGCAATATAAGATACATAAATACCCTTATTCCGAAAATGAAGGAAGTTTAGAATTTGGAAACTTCCTAAAATTTTTTTTGTTGTTGTTTGGTTGATTTTTGCACTGCTGGGGATTGAACCCAGGGCCACCATTCTGTCACTGGGCCACATCCTCAGGCCTGTTTTTAAATTTTTAAATTTTCTTTAAATTTTTGAAACGGGATGACAAAGTTGAACAGGCAATCCTCCTGATCAGCCTCCTACGTAGTTGGGATTATAGGCGTTTGCCGCTGCTCCTTGCCAGTATCAATAAAATTAGCATTGTACCCAAAGGCTCACCATACCAATCTAGGGGGTTTTGATCATGAAATTTGGGACTTTTGAGCTGATAAAACCTAGATGAGATTTGGAGGGCTCGTACTAACGTTATAATGCGGGATTTTTCACAACATGGGGATAAGGTAAATATTTTGTTTAAAGGATGGGTATAAATCACTGGGGATTAGGATGGAGTATGGTAGGTGAATAATATGTGTTGCAGCAACAATAGTAAACTAACACCTTTGCCCTGTTGGATTGTTAACTATAACTCTGTTTTACTCTTTCAGTGATAGCTGTCAGGTTTACAATATGCATCTCCAAAAACTATATATATCAGGTGACATCAAATATAAGAACCTCAAAACAGCATCCTTCCCTTCCTTCCTGCTAGTATTTTTGTGTTATTGTTTCGTTACATCTTGCCTCTAAATGTTATAAATCTCATAGCTATCATATTTTTTGCTGTAAATATTTGGTTATTGCTTGGGAATTGGTGGGGGGGGCATTTTACTGGATATTAAATCCAGAGCTTCATGCATATTAGGCAAGAGATCTGCCACTGAGTTACACACCCAGTCCCTTTTTAAAATTTTATTTTGAGCAGGGACTTGATAAGATGCCCATCTGGCCTCAAACTTGCAGTTCTTCTGCCTCAGTCTCCCAACTAGCTGGGATCACAGGCATGTGCCACAGCACCCTGGCTAAAGAATTCTTTTTAATAAAAAATACATTTTGTTTGTCTACATATATTTTCTGTGCTATTTAATTCTTTACATAGACCCATGCTTTCATCTAGTATCATTTTTTTCTTCTGTCTGAATAGTTCTTATAGTGAAGAACTGCTGGTGCTAAATTCACACAGTGTTTGTTTTATTAAAAATGTTTTTGTTTTCATTTTTACGTTTTTAAATATATATTTTTTCCTTGATGACAATTCTTGATTAACAATTTCTTTTAATTTGTTCAGAATTTTAAATAAATTGCTCCATTGTTCTGTTGCTCATGGATTTCAGACAGTAAGTTGTGGTCATTTTTTGTTTTAAAAAAAGTGCAGAATGCATAGTAGACATCAGCTAAGTGCAGGTATAATATTCTGGTTTGAGTATTGGCCCTGAAGCCAAAATGCCTGGGTTTATTCTGGCACTGTCAGTTATTACCTGTATGACCATGGGAAAAATACTTAAGCTTTCTATGCCTCAGTTTCTTCCCCCATAAAATGAAGATAAGAGTAGCTCTCCCATATAGGGTTGTTCTAAGTGCTGAATTAATGTATGTATAGTATTTAAAGAAAGCACACAATAAAAATGATTACTGCTTAATGACAAAAAATAGATTTAGACAACACTGTCAACATTTGAGTGCTCAAAGTATTTTAATGTATGGGCTGGTGTTGTAGTTCAGTGGTAGAACCCTTGCTTAGCATGCACAAGGCCCTGGGTTCAATCCTCAATGTGGACAAAAAAAATAATGAAGTGCAAGAGTTATGTTGCTAGCCATTCATATATTCCAAAGGAAAGCAATAAGTTGATTCCTTTCAGTGAATACAAGAAAGTTCTTGATGTTATAAAAAATTTGTATACTGAGGTTGTAAGATCTAAGAATAGTAAAAGAGAGAGAAATGGACTACATTCACATGACTTTTATTACAGTATATTGTTACAATTTTATCTTATTATTCGTTTTTGTTAATCTCTTACTGTGCCTAACTTAAATTTAA